TTTCCTGCGTCAACAAAATCAGACAACTCCTAAATTAACCCCTGAGTGACATTCTGTTCCACACTCCACACCAGCTGGTGACTGTAATGCGCCACTTTTGATGCCACCCATCAATAAAATTATTCTAACAACCAACAACACCAAACGGAGCACTAAAAAGGTAGACCATGCTGGTTTGTTTCAGAGCAAGATGGCAATGGTGACCAGTGGTCACCGGCCAAAATTATGATTGTTAATACCTCAGAACCAAAAGCAGCACAAACAGCGTTTTTTATGGCACAAATCATTTTATCTATTTGCAGGAATGTTTTAAGTGTTTGGGTTGTGAGCTGCACTCAGCTCTCCCACAGGAATGAGTCCAGAGGCATATGTCGATGCCTGAGCCGATCACCGATCACCGAAATGACGTTAAAAGTCATACAAAACATTAATCACCAGTAGCCCTTAGTCCTCATCAGTGATGAGTCCCCAGACGCCATCGCTTAAATAAAAGTTACACAATGCGATGCTAGCTCTCAGTAGTCCTCCAATCACGGGACTTTCAACGCGTGCAAAGTCCCACTCCCATGAGTGGACTGTTGTCATGAGTCCAGAGGCACAGGCGCTAAAAGTCAGACAGAAACAACAGAGCTGTCTATCCTACAAAACGTGACAAAGGACACACATAAAGCCCCCCAGCTCCACTCAAATCCCTCTCTGACTTAGCCCTATTGACCAGCAGACATCAGAGGAGCTTACTGCATGTAAGTGTAACAGACTGTTCTGTGTTAGAATGGATAAGAAGGTGTGTTCCTTCCAGTGGCCGGAGAGCGAGGGGGGGGGGCAAAACTCCAAAATGTCAGAGCCCCCCTGCATCATTTTGACAAACAGCTGCCACACAGATCTCCTCAACCTGTGCCATGAATAAAGGGAATCACTCTGTTAACCCCAAAGCAACAACTCAATAACACATGAGAGCAGTCTGGTGGTGGAGAGGAGGAACATGAATAATGAGCTCTGTAGGAGCTGAAGGTCAAACATTTTTATCAAATGTGGATTCTTGTAAATAAATGTTTACCTAAAGACAAGTGAAAATCATATCTAAACAAAAATTCTTAGTAGGAAGCTTTAAAAGGCTTCTGTTAACCATTTAATGTCAGCACAGCTTTCAGCTCATCCTCTGATCTGAACTAACCACTAAAACCTGGAGTCTGACCTCAGAGTCTTCAGTCCACAGAGTGGACTCTGCAGAAAGCTGCTCAGCTCCTTCATCACACACTCAGAGATGGGGTTCAGGCTCAGGTCCAGTTTTGTCAGATGGGAGGGGTTGGACTTCAGAGCTGACACCACAGAAGAACAGCTGCTCTCTGACAAACTGCAGCCCTCCAGTCTAAGAAAGAACATATCATGTAGATTCATTTGAATCTAACTACAGCAGAACCTCTACTTATGATGCCTCAACATACAGATTTTCCGACATATGAAATAAAATTTGATCAAATATTTTTTATATATGGCATAGAAAAAATAATAGAATCTAAAAATTAAATCAAAATAAATAAGTTAAGTTAGTTTAAAGTTGTTGTAGTGAAAGTCAGAGTAATACAGAATAGAATTCTCTTTGTCCTGCCTACATTCATTTGTGATTTTTTTTCTGGGTTTATTGTTTCTCTCTGTTTTATGTACCCAGTTTGTATCTTGTTAATCTTGTTTTCTCCTTGTTGTTTGAAGTTATTCTCTGTTTCCCTGTCCGTATCAGACTGGTCTTAGTTGTGTTTTATAGTTCCACTCATGGTTTGACTTCCTCATTTTTGGCCAGTTATGTTTGTTTCTTGTTCCTCTCTCTTAATCCGGGTTTTGCCCCGTTCCCCTCTTCTGGTTATTAGCTCTGTGAGTCTGTATCATCAGGAAACCAGAAAAGCTGACAGAGTGAAC